AATCTATCCAAGTCTCTCTGCAGACCCTCCCTATCCTCATGCAGACCAACACTCCTGCTTAACTTGGTGTCATCTGTGAACTTACTGATGATACACTCTGTGTCCTTATCAAGATCATCAATGAAGATGTTGAACAGAAATGGTCCCAACACCAAGCCCTGAGGAACAGCACCTGTGACAGGCCACCAGCTGGATTTAGGTCCACTGAGCCCCACTCTCTGGGAGCGTCCAGCCAGCCAGTGCTTGACCCAGACCATATGCTCATCCAGGACATGGGCAGCCAGTTCTTCTATGACAATTCTATGGGGAACAGTGTTGTATGCTTTACGAAAATCCAGATAGACAATATCCACAGCTTTTCCCTCATCCATTAGTCAGGTCATCTTGTCATAGAAGGAGATCAAGTTTGTCAGGCAGGACCTGCCTTTCATAACCCCATGCTGACTGGGCCTGATCCCCTGGTTGTCCATTATATGACTTGTAATGGCACTCGAGATGACCTGCTCCATGACCTTCCCTGGCACCGAGGTCAGACTGACAGGTCTATAGTTTCCTGGATCCTCCTTTCTGCCTCTCTTGTAGATGGATGTCACATTTGCCACCCTCCAGTCCAGTGGGACCTCCACAGTCAGCCATGACTTCAGGTAAATCATGGACAGCAGCTTGGCGAGCACATCTGCCAACTCTTTCAGCACCCTTGGGTGTAACCCATCTGGTCCCACAGACCTGTGTGCATCCAGGTGGTGCAGCAGGTCTCTGACCACCTCCTCTTTAATTGTGATGACCTTGTTCTGCTTCCCCTCCCCATCTCCCAGCTCATGAGGCTGGGTGTCCAGGAAACAGCCAGTTCCAGTGCTGAAGACTGAGGCAAAGTAGGCATCGAGCACCTCAGCCTTTTCCTCATCCTTAGTTCCATGTTTCTCTCTGCATCCAGTAAAGGAGGGAGATTTTCACTAATCCTCCTTTTGCCGTTAATGAATTTATAGAAACATTTTTTGTTATCACTAACAGCTGTAGCCAGGTTGAGCTCTAGCTGTGCTTTGGTCTCCTAATGTTCTCCCTGCATAGCTTCACTACATCTTTATAGTCTTCATGAGAGACCTGCCCCCTCTTCCAAAGGCAATAGATTCTCCTTTTGTTCTTGAGATCCAGCCAAAGGTCCCTGTTTAGCCAGGCCGGTCTCCTTCCCTGCCTGCTTGTTTTCCATCACATGGGAACAGCCTGCTCCTGTGCCTGTAAGACTTCTCTCCTGAAGTATGTCCAGCCTTCCCGGACTCCCATATCCTTCAGGGCAGCCTCCCAAGGGATTTTGTCAATCAGCCTTTTGAACAGGTCATAGTTTGCCCTCTGGATGTCTAAGGTGGCAATTTTACTAACCCCTCTGTCTCTCCAAGGATGGAAAACTCAATCATCTCAGGATCACTGCACCCTAGATGACCTTCAACCTTTTCCTCCCCCACAAGCTCTTCGTTGTTCACAAGAAGCAGGCCCAGGAGGGCACCTTCCCTGGTCGGCTCACTCACCAGCTGTGTGAGGAAGTTATCCTCCACACATTCCAGGAACCTCTTGGATTGTTCCCTCTCTGCTGTGTTGCGATCCCAGCAGATATCTGGGAGGTTAAAGTCCTCCACAAGAACAACAATACGATAACCTTGTGGCATTTTTCCCACTGAAAAAAATTACTTGTTTGACTTTGTATCCTGTATGACTCAAGCCTCCTACATGGTTCTTAATGAAACTGAAGTCATTACTAGTGGCATACTTCATTTTCATGCAAGTGGACAGGTTTCTGTATTTTCCTGAAAGGCAACTTGCCACTCACAGAATTGCTCCATAGTGACAGAGAATTAGGACTTGCTTACTACACTGAGACATGGATAAATGATCACCAGGTACCACCACAGCTCTAGTTTTCCTTTTACTTGCAGTATTTTTGTAATGCAAAACAAGATACTGAAGGGTAAAAGCACTGAAGGTAGCAGGAATAATAGAATAAGAATAAGAATAAGAATAAGAATAAGAATAAGAATAAGAATAAGAATAAGAATAAGAATAAGAATAAGAATAAGAATAAGAGGAAGAAGAAGAAGAAGAAGAAGAAGAAGAAGAAGAAGAAAATCCCCAGCAAAACAGATCTCCAAACACTTAAAAAAAAAAAAAAAAAAAAAAGAAGAAGAGAAAGAGAGAGAGAGGAGCAGAGAATGGTGTCTCTACTGCTACAAGAATGTAATTGAATGTTCTAATATGGTTACATGAATAAACATGAAAACTAACTTTTATCTGAAGTAAAAGTGTACAAGTCATCAGTCTTTCAAAGTCTGAACAGGAATCTAAAAAACAGACATCTCAGAACAGGAGGAGGAAAGGAAGGAGCATTGGTACTGGTCGGAAGAGGACTGCATTAAATAACATTGGCATTACGAGGCAAAACAGAACAAATTTAGAAGATGCCATGATTCAGGTTGCCTGGGTAACCATAACTGGAACAGTAATAGGTAATGATAACACTGTCTTCTTACATACAAACACGTTTTACTGAAGACTCGGTTAGCACACAGTGTGGTCCTGCTCATGAAGATGGCAGCTACTGGGTCTTGCAGGAATGGCTCCATGCTTTAGAGTAGCAACTATCCAACTTCTTGAAGTGAGTGCAGAACTAGTATCTCTCTGAGAGTTTCTTGGATTTACATAGAATCGTAACATTTTAGAGCAGTTCAAAGGTTTGCTATGGTCAGTTTTCATGCTTTATGCCTACCCACAGATTTATTTCTGATATCCTAACAGTTACAGGCTTAGATATTATAAATTTGGCTCTTCTTCAGTTTTCCTACTCTGTGGGCTATGGTTGCATACAATGTCAATCACATGGGGTTATATGGAGCAGGATATGAATTCAACTGGCCCCATCAGCTTTGGGGTAAGAAGTGTTTCAGTGCAGGAGAAATGCTCTTCCATAGTCATGCAACCTGATTTATTGGGCCAAATGTTGTTCTGACTTGCCATATGCCATCTGACATCAGGTGCATTAAATGGAGCAAGAGACAGGACAGAACTGGCTCCTCACCATCAGGAAGAGATGCAATTAAGGCAAACGAGATCTAGCCCTTCCCTGGTTGGTCATAAGCCTAATTAAATTAGCAGAACAGTCCAATCAGGAATGTGTATATATGCCATTAATATTTTTTTTTTTTTTTTAAAAAAAAGCATGGGCATTCTCATTTTGGGTGGCATGTATTGCATTGATAATAGATCTAAAGTATGCTACAGGTTTTGGAAGCTGGAGCTGTTCCTCCATTACAGGTTATTCCATCTGCCATGTAAAAAGAAACACAGAATTAGAGGTACAGCCATAAATGTCCTTCTCAGTCATTACATGAGTTTTTTAGCACTTTAGGTTGTCTAGTGATCAATGTAGGCATACCTATGGTACCTATATCTAGGGCTGTCTGCTGTGCAAAGTAATCATACATGTAAGGCTGCTTGGAAAGAGTATTTTAGTTAGCAGAAACCTTCCTCACTTAAATACCAGTTATTTAGTCATGAAATAATTCTTCAGGAACTTTCCATATCATAGCTAAAGCACTTTTTGTTATTTTAAGTCAATTACTGTGAATGAAACTGAGATAAGGCATCTAGACAACTCTTAATAATTTCTAAACTGTGTCATTTGAGGAATGTCCACCCCGTGGGCTGTTGGGATTTTGATCCAGTTTGGAACAAAAGTGAACTTCAGATCAGTGGAGTCTCTGTGGAGTGGAGGCACCAAGTTCTGACAGATATTTGCTCAGACACTTGAGAGAGGCCAGGAGGGCCTTCTGCTTCCACCTTTCTAAGAGTCAAACGAATCCTCAGGCTATCAAACAAGCTTTCACCCAATGCTGACTGCAGCTAATGGATTTCAGTGCTGGGCCCACAGAAGAAGAAAAATTTATTCAGCCAAAATAAATTGCTACTGGGTACTACTACTGCTGCTTGCTTCTAGGTAATACTTAATCTGGGCTAGAAGTGAGATGAACTGTAATTCCTCAAGTGTTTTCCCTAGGAGCATGTTAGCTTTTAACTCCTTTTGCTTCATGACCTGCTGGTTAGCACATTGGCCACAGCCTCTGTGTACAAAGGGATGACTCCCTGCTCTTTTTCAGGGACTTACATACACTGCAGAGGACTTTCTGCTGTCCCCACTTGCATGGGTGCTCATGCTGAAAGTAGCCACACTAGTTTCTCAGCCACTAACTCCTGGGCATTTAAGCAGGTGGCCTTTTTGACAGCCTGTAATGGTGTCAGGTTTGAAAACAAGGTGTCTTGAACCTTGCCAGTGAAGCAAGACTGAGGAAACTTGTTCTGAGCATGTGACTCTGCCATGTCAGCAAAGCTTGCTGCAGATCTGGGACAGTATCACCTAAGTATGTTTTTGAGTTAAGAATGAAAAGCTAAGTATAGTTTGGGAATGAAACACTAAGTAATGTTTCTGACCTTTCTTTGCAGCCATCTTCTCCTCCTCTTTTTTCTTCTCTTCCTCCAGAGCTTTCATTTTTGCATCATACTCATCAGCACGGGTCTTCCACTCATTTCTGTTGTTCAGCAGCCCATCAAGCATAGGCTGAATTTCCTCATGGAAACGGGAAAATTCCTAACCAAAACACACCCATCAGTGCAACACAGTGCAAAGGTAGTGCTCGTCCATCATACCCCAGGATGGACCCTGACACCTCACCTCCCAGGGTGGCTCATGCAGGGGAAGCATTAACAGCACAAAGAGGAACCATGCTGCAATGCCCCAGAAGGGCCAGCTGTTGTGTCCTCTATCTGTCCCTTTCCCCATGAGTGGTATTGCTGCACCAGGACTCACTCACCTGGGATTTGAACCCGTGTTGAGAAGGATGGGGTGTGCAAGGCTTCACTTTGCTTACCTTATAGACAAACGTGCACACAAAGTCAATGAAACCCACTTGAAGCTTTGGAAGCTCAGCAGCTTTCCTCCGGTCCATCATGGGCTGTGGGAGGACACAGGTTCAATATGATTTATGAGAACACTTCAGTGAAATGCACACCTCTACTTTCTCCCCAAAACTGCCTTGTTGTAACAGCCTGGCAGTTCTGCCATGCTGTCCATAAATGCTGTCCATCACAGCCCTCTTCCTCTGCTGCAGAGGAGTGAAGTGAGCTCATTTCTTCTGCCATTTTAGCAGAAATTTTACACAGCTCTTTCAATGTCTATCTATGGACAGAGAGGAGGACAGAGTTTTCCCTTGTGCCTCTCAACTAGATACTTGAGAGAAGGTTCATCTTATAAAGTGCTGAAGAGGTTTTCAATTCTCTAAAACATAACTGAACGTGAAATTACATTTTTATAAGACCTTGTTTCTTATTGTATCATTTGTGATGCCTCTGTGGGTAGAGGGTGTATATGAAAGTCTACTTAAAGAAAATCCAAACCACACAGGTGGAGACCACATCAAGGAATGACTCTTGGCTCTTTCAATGCCAAATTTAAGCATGTTCTTACAGCAGAAAAAAATATGTTAAGAAACATTGCTTTCACACACTTCCATTTATTCCAGAAATAATTTCTGGACTCAATCAGGTTTGTTTCTATATTTTTTCTCTTTATCAGAAACTCTGCTTTCCTCTATGATGTATGTATTTAATTTTTTTTTTTTTTTTTTTTTTTTTTTTTTTTTTCCCTGCAAGAGACCAGCACAAAGCCTCCAGGGAAACAGTCACTCCTTGCTAATTCAGAGCCAGTGGTACCCATGAAACTACATGGAGAGCTGGACAAGAAGCTTTATCACAGAGGGTCTTCCCTAGCTGAGTACCCACTTTTCTGATGGATTTTGGTAGTCATGGTGATTTCAGGAAGACTCACAAAGCTCTGAAAGCAGCATTGCTTGTAGTAAGTCTCTGCTGAGACTCTGAACCGTCTGACTCTCGCATGGTACTTACAATAGGCTGTTGCTGAAGGACACTTATTTCTAAGTCTCCTTGCTCCCAGAACTCAGCTGCTACCAGGAGAGCTACCTACATTGCCAAGGAGGGAAAAAGAAAAGTTAGCACCGACTTCAGCATTATAACGTGATGCACTTTAGAAATCCAGCATGAAGCACATCTCACTTCTAGCCCCTCTGTTGCTTCATGTCCAAACCCAGCCCCAGCCTTTCTCCTGGGAAAGGGAGCAGTGGCAATGGGATTGCACCCGTGTACTGACAGCTCAATAACCCTATTGCACTGGAGCTCATTAGTGCATTGCTCATCTATTAAAAAGTATTTCCAGTGTGAGCCCCTCATGGATTTGTCTCTTGGTCACATTTGTGGCTGCCTATTATGATTTTCTCAGTTCTTTCTCCATGCTGAACAGTAAGGTAGGTTTTATTTCTTTTATCCTCTTTTAAATGTTAATGTTTCTCACTTAGCAAATGCCCAAGTACATTTTAGGAAGGAACTCCTAAAGGAAATCAAACAACAGAGCAAACAGCAGATATTGCTGTAGGAAAAAAAACCCGACTCATATGTTATATGCAAAAAACCCCACTGTAACCCAAGAAGCTAAATACCTGGGTTTTTTACTTTTATTTTCTTTTTCTGTAAACATGAGTTTTCTACAGAATTCACAACTACAATCTTAAAGATTGGTTTATCCGTCAGAACCATAGTTATTCTAAAGTTCTTTTGGTAGTTTTGGCAGGAGACTTTGATTCAGCTTCTAGGTAGCTTAGGAAACTGCATTACTTTGAAGTACAAGCTAGAGAAATCTAACAATTTATCAAGCGCCTGACCTTACTCTGGACTTCCCAAGGCTTTGTGATTGCTGACAAATCACAGGCGGTCATCATCATGGCCCTAAAAACAAGAAAGAAATTAGGTTCTTCTCTACAGACTCCACCCTACCTCTTGCAGGCTCAGGATGTTCATGCCCCAGTACTGTGCCAGTTAACCCCAGACCCTGCTGAAGTAATAGGTAAAGAAAGCAACAGCCTTGGCACTGACTGGGACACTCATCAAGGATTGCTCTCTTGATTAAAATGGGTTTATACTGGGGAACTGCTTGCTTCCAACACTAGGATGTTTGCTGCTTTAGTCATTGCTGGGATGAACTTCTTAAATTTGGAGTAATAGCTTTGGCTCACTCATGGAGGTGTAGCAGTGCAGGTTGTGGGTGCACTTCACTGTCATTGAAGAGTGTCCTATGAAGTGTCTGTCCAGTCAGAACAGCATTGTGGAACTCAGATTAGTGGCTACTGGGAAGAACAACTAATGAATTCCTGTAGGTCTGTAATTGCAGCCTGTCCCTGCTTGTGGCCTACAGGGTGGTCTGGTAGGAGTATATCACCAGAAGGGATCCTGCATCTCATTAGGAGTGTATGACCAGAAGGGCACCCCAAAACCAGTCACTTATCTGGACAAAAGAGCACTTTAAGCTTTTTTCCCTGCTTTTCCAGAAGATCAGATTTGAGTGGACAGTAATGTATCACGTGCTGGTTTTGCATTAAGTGCAGTGCAAGGCATGTTCTAGAGCTCTCAACAGGTGACCACAACCCTAACCTTTCCAGAACCAATTACTTACATGACAACCTCTTTCTTTGTTATCTCCAGAGACAGATATTCAGTCCAGGCAGTCACGCTATCGTATGTCTTGGACTCATCAACAATCTTTTGAAACATTGTTCTCTTTCTTTGAGGGGAAAAAAAAACAACAAAAACAACAAAAAACCACATTCAAAACAAGGAAATAAATGTGTTAAAGCAGGTGGCCAATTCTGGTATTGATAACCCTTTCAGAAGGGTTTCCAGTAGTTGCTGTCCTAGCATTTAGGTCCTCAGGGAAGCCCCCAACAAAATCAAGCACCATCACCCGCTTCTCTTAAGTAGGGGTAACTATTGTAAATGCCTTAAAAATAAGTATAGTGGTGAGACATGAGCAAGAACTTGAAAGTGTGAGCTACTGAAAGTTATGTTAGCTGAGAAATGCTTCCACCTTTGTTGGCAGCAAAAGAAGGCTTTTCCCTGAATGTTAAGCAAACTGCAGAAACTTTTTGCTGGCTGGAGTATTTGTAAAGCTACTTCACATTATATACTTAGTCTGACCCTGTTAAGCATATTTATATATCTAAATATATGTAGCAAATTCTGGGGAGGAGTTTATACACACCAAACCCATGTTTTGAGTGGCATGAAATCTGGAAAAATCAGATGTTTTGATGCTAGCAGAGAAGACATTTAGGTCAGATCCACAAAGAAACTTGTGCACGTGTTCTCTCTGTATCATTTTGCCTGGATCTGATCTCAACAAGCCGTTTTTTTGAAGACCATGGACCAAGGAGGGCAAAGACCATCTTGTTCTGACCTGGTAAGGAAGCTGTGATACCTGCTCCCATACAGGCACCCTACCTCCAGAGTAAGAGGACTGAGTATTTGCACCATCCCTCACATTCCTTTTTTATGGACTGTTAATATTTTGCATTATCATTCTTCAGTGCAAAAGACAGAAGCAGTCTCTGGTCTTGGCTTCATATTTTGAAAGAACATTTTGAAGATTCCTTGCTAATTAGGAAGTCATATGTTGTTGAATTCCAGCTTTATGTTCCAGAATGTCAGCACATGCTGCTTGAAGATGTTTGGCATTTTTGGCTTTGGGCTGTGAAATAGATTATGAACTGGATATTCACCTACAATGGACCACTTGCTATTTGGGTTGAACTGCTCTCCCAGAGAAGTTAATGTAGTCCTGTCCAGTCCATTCACCATTTCTGAGTATTTTTAGTGCTGAAGTTCTAGGTAAAACATTCCTTTCTGTTAGGGGATGATGCAGCACTGCCTTGTTAGAAATAGAGAGTTAAAAAGTCACGTATGTGATCTAATGAGTAAATGTTCAAAATTCTTTTGAATAGTTTGAGTTCTCCCCACCAGCTCTGATGTCAGTTTAAAAGGCAGCCTCCCAGAGCCAGTGTCTGTGAAAAGGATTGCTGCATGGGGGGGTGGGGGGGTGGGGGGGTGTTGGTTGTGTCTCAGAGCAAAACATCGTTTTGCCTTTGTAAAATACCAGCTTCATTCTGCCCTTCACACACAGCATAGGTGACCGACTTACTTGAAGTAGAGTGCCAGGTCTGTTGCTATAATAGCAATTTCCATCAGGTGAATCATATGTTCATGCTGTCTGCGGTTGAGGTTCTGACATATATTCAGCGACTGAAAAGCAAAGCAAAGGGAGCTACAGAATCCAAGCACTGTGTTGTTGACAGTTCCTGGCCATCTCCCTTTCTCAAATGTGCTCACTGTTTTGTTGGTTTTTTTTTTTTTTTTAATAGCTACAGCTTGCTCCCCTAAGGTGTAAGGACTGTGAGCCCCATTCACCATATGTTGATGCCTAGACTCCCCTTTTGTTCATTGAACAGGGTCAGTGTCCTGAAGCTTGTTACGTAGTATGTGCCCAAACCCTGTCTCTTGTCCCCAGTGAGAATTTACCCGAAAGGAAAAGTCAGCTGGGAGAGTGTGTCAGGCTTGGCCCTGCCAGAGGGGCTCCAGGAGGACAATCCTGTATTTAACATATTTCTGTGGGGATAATGATATGGCTTCTGAAGAAACCAAGTGACGCATTTAGGAAGCCTATGTGTATTGGTCCTAAATCAGCATAGAGTACTTGGGGAGTACAGCTGTAGTTCCTCAGACATCCAAACCAGAGAAAGGTCTTGTGGCATCTCTGTTGTTGCCAAAAACCTTCCCTGAAAGTAAATTATTCATGTCCTTACATGACAGTTCATTACCAACCTCTTCAGAGAGCAAGAATTTTCCAAATTCCAAGTGATGTCTCTCTAAAATTGAGGATCCATGAAGTTTAGCTAAAGGATTTTGAGATCTGGTTGCATAAAGAAAAAATTAAAGATGTTAGTGTAGCACTTAAAAATAAGTGTCCTGTATTATATTTAATTTTGTCACAAAGAGCAATACTTTTAATAGCTGATGATTTCAGTCTAGTAAAGACTTCTGTGACACTCCTTAAAACTATTTGGACACTGTATGAAACAGTCTGCTCATTACAAATTTCACCCAAAATATTGTTTATGACTGGACTGTTTTATTAAGCATAGTAAGCTTGTTTAATTTCTGAATAACTACATGCTGGTATCTAGTAATGGTAACAGAAAAAACAGAAGTTGTTGAACACTTTCTTAGCTGAAAAGCAAAACCCTCTTGTACCCAAAACACCAGGCAGCTTTACTTACATTTTTCCAGAGCTCCACAAAACAAGTATAGCCAGCAAGCATTACAGAAGAGCTGTGACCTAACACTATTTTAAGTGAAAAACTGAGGCTTGACTGGTCAATGAAATCATGCAACAGTTTTTCTATAGCTAGTAACTACCTACTGGGAGCGGCACCCTCACACCCTCACAGGTGTTTTGTTTCTGCAGGTGATGAGAGCAGTACCATGGAGCTTTCTCCATAGATACCTTCCAGCAAAAAGTAGGCTTCTTATGTCCAGGATGCTGCTGGTGGCACCCTATGTCTCCTATGATGCTCAGGCTACTAAATACCTGTGCTGCACTTGTTCCACCCTGTAATGGTAATGTAGAGTGTTGCTTTAACCAAAGGAGATAAAGAAAGCCCCAGAGAGCACTGCAAAATTCCAGTTTCCCCGGTGGCCAA